CAGAGCTTCACGTGATTCTTGTCCGACACAGCTCAATAATGCGTCTTCATTTACGCGAGACAACTGTTCCGTGCTGAGCTGTTGGATAACTATCGAGCGAGCGGCGGCGAGATCTGGCTTGCCGGAAAGAGCGAGCAGCGCTTTGTAGTGGGACTCGGTCATTTTGGCATTTACATTTGGGGATCGTAGGACGGAGGTTCTGTGGGAGTCACCACGCATATATAGTGCCCGGGAAGTTGCAGCAATTTTGGTCCGGCATATGTATAGGTGTAACCGGTTATGTGATCTGTAGCTCACGAGTCCCCCTGGACGGTCGCTTCGATCAGTCTTGCTAGATTGCGCGCCAATTATGTTGAGTTTGTAGGAGATAGACACTGTCTAAGATTGGCGGCCCCGCAATAATTTCCATGGGCCACAATAGTCACGTGCGTGCGAATTTGTAGTCTTGAAGTGGTTGGTGAGAGCCTGCGACAAAACAGAACGCGTAGATATTTTAGCGGGGCGATGAAAGTGAGCAAGTGATGTTTTTTCAATATGAGGTAGGTCAGATTCAATACCGATATTTCATATCGTTAGCTGACTTTTCATACGCGAGGTGGAGGAGATATCTTGTTTAAGTTATGTACTTTCTTTCTCGGTAGGAATCCCGTTGTGTAGTCATGGATCCGGTACTCAACTTCTGCGTACGCCAACGGCCATGGGCGACAAGAATAACTGATGCGGACACGATATATATATCGTAGCCCGTAGACCAAGCCTCTTAAGGTCGGGGTTCGCGTATTCCACTTCAACCTTGCGGTCTGGTTGCCAGAATTCCATGCCAACAGCCGGATAGCAGCTTCATACACGCCAGCGGGGTTTTTTTGGGATACGATAGTCGGCCTGCGCAGCATCTCTGTCACGCTTCCACTTGCTGCAGTGGGCCTCAACGCGACGGCCAGCTTGATGTTTGGCCCTAGACACTCTGGATGCTTGTCGGCCTCGCTTGAGACTTGACCTGGTGGACAGTGATTCTATCGTTGACGGGCCCGGCGTTGGAGCAATCTCCCTGTTATCTACTGTGAGATCCATCTCAGTATAGGTTACGGTAGTCTGGGGATAGTTACATTGTCGTACGTTTGGATCTCATCACGGCAATCCCATTGTCTTCGTCTAGCTCCTCCGTCTTCATCACGACCTCAAACTCCCCATCGGCTTCCTCATCCTTCACCGCGACTCCATCCTCTTCATATACATCATGCGCAAGCTTCGAGTGCGAATCCCTGGAGATGACATCGAGCATGGCTAGCGTAATTTCCTCCAATCCTTCTCTTTCGAACTCGTATTTCACGCCTTGGATGACTACACGCGACAGCTGGTTATCGCTGAGTTTACTGAGTATGCCTTGCGGCGCCTGTTGGCGTCTCCATGGTCGTGGAACCGCGCGAGTACGGCTTTGAGATCGCTATCGTAGTACGACATGGTGAGTGGGAAATGAATGAAAGAGTCTTATTGTGTTGTTGTTTGCTACACAGCGTGAGGCCAACGTGTTCCCTGCGACGTCCGGTGGGTAACCAAGAAACAAGCGATGGCCCACGAAGGCGCAGTCGACGATAGTTGGCGTCACCAGCTTCCAATCCCAGCCAGACTGCGGCTGCGGTGAGTCGGGTCGTTTGTTATTGTGCGTGTTCGTTCCGCGAAACGTTTTCCCCAATGCTGTGTGACCGCCATGCAACTGCGCCGGGACTAAGCGGACGCGTGAGGACGTGACACATCATCCGCGGCATGGTATTACGTGCTAGAAGGCGGTGTCGAACCGCTGAGAGAGGTTTGGAAAACGATCCCGAAAGCAAATGCGACAGCCGTCATGAGCCTGGCGCGAACAATGTAGTGTGGTGCAGTAGCACTCAAGGTCGTGGTGGCTGCTGCTCCTAGCTCGTCCGAATTTGGGCATGAACTTGGCCAAGCATTAGGCTGCTGACATTGCCCACGCCCCGCGCGCATCCAGCGCTTACATGCGACTAACAGGATGTTGAAGAGCTTGCATCGACCGTTGAGACCTCTACCAGATCACAGTTGAGTTGAGTCGATTCAAGATCATATCGCGCGATATTCAAAGTCGCTGCACGTGGATGACGTCATGCAGGACACTAGGACCAGTGCTAGCATAGCGGCCCGTCAATGTTGGGAGTGCTTCAAACGCCGCCTGGCATGCGATCGCACCCTGCCGCTATGCAGGAAATGTACCAAGACGGGTAAGGAATGCCCAGGATATAACGACCAGAAGCCGTTGCAATGGGTGGAACCAGGGCACGTGACGATTCGTCCGAAGAAGAAGAAGAAGGAATGCCGGCCACCAACATCCGCCATCAGAACGGCCAACTCCGCGAGACTCGCACCCGCCATCCCAAATGGACCAGTTGCGGATCCCGGGGAATCCAGAGACGCAAGTCTACCAGAGCTCCTCGGACAAGGAGGGTGCTCGTGGCTGGTCTCCGAAGAGCTTCAGCTTACCCCAGAGGCGATCGAATTGTCGAAGAGCCAACTTGCCAACTTATCGGTGGAAGAAGACAAGCCAGCATGGTGGCGCGACCTTGATATCGAGGAGCAGGTAGACCCCATTGAGCTAACAATTGCAAAGGCCGGAGCGGGCTGTGGGGTGGGCGAACGCATCATGTGCATTGGCAACAAAGACCAGATCAAGGAAGTAGTAGAAAGAGGCCAGCACTGGGAAGCCGCACTACTTCTGCAGTCGAATCAGAGGCCTCTTGCAAAGATACAGAGACTGCTGCAGATCATGGAGATGAACAGACTTCCATCTTACGATTTCTTGTCGGATGAGACACACGATGTGGTACAAGCCGTCAATTACTGTATGTACGCATGCCCCGACGAGAGGCATACCTGTACTAAGTCCGATAGTTAACACTAGGATTTACCCGGATATCCAAGAGACGGACTGCCTAGCACCCAATCCAGCAGTGGTTCATTTCCCAGTATGGGCGTTGCATATACTGGCTCCGGCAATGCACTATACGACTGTCTGCCTGAGTCTCAACTACTACTTGACCTCGTCGCCGCTGGGCAAAGACCGAGCTGTCATTGCGGTAAATCGCCTCAAGATATACCATTATCGAGGCCTTGCTATACGCGCTCTCAACGAGAATGTCGCGAGAAAGGAAACGCGCAGTAGTGATCAAACAATCGCCAGCATTCTCATGTTTCTGGCAATGGAGGTATACTTTGACACATCTGACACATCTGACACGTGCGGGTCCAAGAGGCTGATTGTTCTCTTAGGTACATAGCTCGACAGATGTCGACTGGAGGTCGCATGCAGATGGTATGAAGCGACTGATAGATATGCGTGGTGGCTTTGGATCACTACGACGCACAGTGCCTCACATGACATCAGCGCTAGTGATCTTCGTGCTGTTGGTGTAGTTCGACCGCTTTGATGACTTTGGCTAACGACATGCAGCATCGTAACCTTTTCGAACAGTCTCGGTCCAGCAGCACATCAGATCAGTATCACTGAGCCATTCGAACAGCATATCGAGGAAGTAGAGAAGGTGTATAGCCTTATCCTCCCTTACACACTGTGCCCGTCGACGCTCTTCATTGAGATCATCCGCATCAACCGCCTCCGTCAGGAGCTCAGCATCATGCCCATCATGAAAACGCATCAGCACGCTGAACATGCAGGAAGCATTCTTTCCCGCATCGAATCCTTCGTCCCAAGAGAATGGGCGCAGTCGAGAGCTCAAGAGGGTGACTGGCAGCTGATCGCATCGATTTGGCAGTCTGCAATCGCACTCTACTGCATAATGTCGTTGCAAGCTTTTGACATTCTTCCCTGTACCAGAGAGTTAGATACCATGCGAATTCCACATCGCGATCGTCTGTCCAAGGATCTGAAGGCTGCCACACCATCAAAACAGCTCAAGAAGATCTCAACATTTCCACTTTGTGTGCTTGGCGTGGAAGCAGGCTATCACGTTCAGCAAAGCACTCAGATCTGGATTGAACGGCACTTGGCGGACGATGCCCGCCTTCTTGGCAGTAACAGCCCTTTGAAGGCGCGAGAAGTGCTCCGACGATACTGGACGCGGAAGAAACCCGGTTGGAATGAGTGCTTTGATGAGCCGTGAGTGTTTCATTCCGGATGTTTTCAGAGAGATAGACTAATGAAATTGATTGGCAGGTTCACAACTCTTGTGCCAGCGGGTGTCTGCTGATCGGCCTGGCGAATCGATGCAGTCCCGAAGTCCATGCATCGGCCGACTGATGCATGGTTTCGTTGACTGGTTAGGCGGGTACTGAATCTAGTTTGAATGAATCACCGATCATTGCGTACTTCAATGCTTCCCAACACCGGATTCCGCCACATTCGATGGGTCACCGAGATGCCGAAGTGCATGCGCACTTCTCTCGTTTCGGCAGTAAGGCAGCAAGCTGCCTACCTGCAAGGAACTTGAGCGCCATGAGGTGCTGGCCAATGCGGTCACCGCCATTACTTCTCCTCAACCGTGGCTGTTCTTCTTGGCCATCCCGACTTCCTAAAAGGGTTAGCGCTTATGTTAGGCGACCTTTAGGCTATACCGAAAGGGAGAGAACCCGGAAGGTGACCATCCATCAGGAAGAAAGCTTGGCCATTTGGCAGTCCGTTTCGGTGTAGTTACGCAGCACAGAGCTTATATCGTGTACGCGAATCAGATTAGCCACGTCTGCGCCCTACGTTCATTCTTGCTGGCTAATGCCGCCTATCAGTTACTACTGGCGATAGTGCTCATGAATTCGATGGCATTATGGCTTCGTGGATCACGTCTGATAATGAGGAGGACTTGGTTCTGATGCGGCCCCCATGACTAGCACCACGCGAAAGACGCCTCACCCTGTTCTATTGCATCTGCGAGGCTGACCAGGTAGAATCGTAGGATCGAAGAAACATGTATATCTTGCGATGAACTTTCAAGCCGCAGCTGGACACCACCAACAGCCCTCGCAACCACCGGACCGAGATGTTCTCAAAGTCGACCTTTTGCCTCGCGTTAAACGCATGCCTGAACCTCGTTGCGACAGCGTCACAAGCATTTTCTAAACATACCGAGCACCCTGAGAATTCCGACAAAGTCGCTATCAACTGGACAGATGCGTCCAGCGTTCTGGGCAGACCCGACACCTATCTCGGAAAGCTGGCTGTACCCCTCGACTATACGCTGCCCCAATCGAAGAATGACACGCTCACCCTCAACATCCTGAAAGTCAAAGCGACAAAAGAGCCAAAACTAGGAAGTGTGTTGACAAACTGGGGTGGCCCAGGCTTGCCTGCAACAGACTGGCTTTTGCAACAAGCTAATTATGTCCTTGCGTAAGTCGCTGCTTGTCATAGAAGCGCTTCAATCACAAGCTAACAACTCTTCTCGTGCAGCATGACAGGTGGACAATACGACATCATCGGTCCCGACCCCAGAGGCACTGGTACTACAATGCCCGTAGCTTGCTACAACGACGAGATGGAACGGATGATTGCGACCTTGCGAACACCCACGAGGACCAACTCTTCTGATATTGCGTTGGGCGCTGTCTGGTCTTACACCAAGCAGTACGCGGCGCGCTGTTTCCAGAACGAGGCGGTGAATGGGTCATTGATGAGCACGGCGTTCGTTGCCAGAGACTTCATGAAGGTTGTCGATGCTCTGACTGTGGAAGGCGAGGATGGTCTTCTCCGGTACTGGGGTGAGTTGAAGATGATGTCTGGTATTCAGAAGGATCGGCTAATAGACTTTAGGGATATCGTATGGCACGTATCTCGGTCAAGTCCTGGCTGCTATGTTTCCCGATAAGGTCGAACGAATGATGCTGGATGGTGTTCTCAACCCGCTCGAGTATCAGCAAGGATGGTACGTAGCTTCCTCCAGATGACTGCGAAACGGGCTAACCGAGCATCAGGGAGACCAGTCCAGCTAAATCCGCACCAGTTGCCTTGGGACAGTTTACCAAACAGTGCATCGATGCTGGCCCCTCCTGTCTTCTCTTTCGCCCCAACATTTCTTCCGACTCGTTGTACGACCAAATCCTACACCTGAGCGAAGATGCCAAACGCGAGCCAATCGTTATGGGCCCGAACGTCACAACGGATATCGTCACCTACGAGAAGGTCGCCGAGGCTAGTGACACCGCTCTGCGCATGGGTCTGGCGTCCGGCTCCAACTTAGCTGGCTATCTCAACAGCATCATGATCCGCGAGACCCCGGAATACAACCACACCCAGTACCTGATCAACCGCTCCTTCATCGTACAGGATACAGCGATCAATGCAGACAACACCCAGCTCATCCGCTGCTCCGATGCCATGTTTCGTGCCGACGAGCTCGCCGATATCAAGGAACGCGTCCAGCACATAATGGAGTTGGGTGATTGGGACAGCGATTACATCATCGGCTCGTATATCATGTGCTCTCTTTGGAAGGTTGAGGCAAAAGAACGGTACGAAGGCGACTTTAAAGCGAGGACGAAGAACCCCGTGTTGCTAATCGGTTCGCCGTATGACGTCCGCACTCCGATTTCTGGGGCTTATGCGGCGAACAAGACGCTCGAAGGAAGTGTTGTGCTTCAGCACGATGGTCTCGGGGTAAGTTGAAGAGCATTTCTTGGCTTCATGGACGGGCTTGGCTTCATGGACGGGTGTAATGTATTCGGGAGAGAACATCGCTAACGACATTGGTAGCACACGGTTATGTACAGCCCCGGGACCTGTGCCATTACCGCAACTGCTGCGTATTTCGTGAACGGGACTATGCCGGAAGAAGGGACGGTGTGCGAGCAAGACTTTGGCATCTTCTCTGGCAAAAGTCTGAAAGATACTCTCAATCTTCTTGGTTAGCCTTAGTCTTCCACAGCTTGGATTGTGAGACTTCGTGGGGGCATTGTCGAGACACTAGAGGAGGTGAAGGTTGATTCGTCGATGAAAATTGGATGGTGTGTTCGGAAGCTCATGGTGGGTGGTTGCTTCGGCATGAACGCTGGATGAACATTTCGTAGCTGCCTGTAGATCTTCTCGATGTGGCTCATGTCTACCGCGCTGCTCTTCTCTCTCGCTCCTCGATATGCATTGTGAGACGCTTGATGTGCCGCATGTGACTACTCATTGGGAGATAGAGAAGCTCGAAATACCCCATGTTCTACGTGCATTCTTCTCCCCAGATTTGAAGAGGACTCCGTTAAGTCTGACATATGCGCCGAGCGAGATCGAAGTCTGGCCTGCGCGAAACTTATCGTGCAATGGAAATATGCACAGCTTGGGGCCCATGGTGTCCAGAATGACTCTAACACATAGACGCATCCGGCCATTGCAATGGTCACAAGCCCTGTCCTTGTCTCCTTCGGCTGAAGTGTACTTTGATGCGCCTGTGCCGCGGTACAGATAGTGGCAGACACACATTCCCCTCTGCATGAAGCGTTCTGCATCCCTCACTATTGACCGATACATTGTCGATATTTTAGGATGCGACATGTAGACTCGATTGAATACTGCGTGGATAACTCTACCGTCCCCAGTTGATATGTCATGAAGAGGTAGCCAGGCGCCACCTCCGAAGCTGTTTGGAGCCCATACGCCTATCCTGAGTCTGGGATCTGGCTCGGTTGCGGAGGCTGCGGGAAATGTAATGAAGTTCACGTCCGTCGCAGGATTTTGGTCCGTGTACAGCACCACTTGTGGCGCTACTGTATTGCTTTCTTCTTCATCTTTGACGGAATCTTCTAGATCGATGACTGTCGGAGGTATCGCGGGGCGATAGTCGTATGGATGTATGCCGTTATCCGCTTCCCACATGTCACTCTCGTAATCGTCCTCGTTCTTGTCATCGTTCTCGTCATCACGTAAGTCGATGGTGTCCAACGATGAGCCATCAATCGGTTCATTTTTGAGTGCCTTACGAGCAGGTTCCTGCCGCTCGCTATTTGTATCATTAGTAGCGCGCTTTCGCTTGGCCAACGAAGGGGTTGCTGCGGTTACTAGTGTCGCGTCCTTCCGAGCTGCGACAGGGGCAGGACCCAGGACTTCTGTGGTGATGCGTATTAGCTGGCGCCTCATATACCCGTGATTGCATGTTTACCAGTCTTTGGAACTGTCATTGGCTCGACGTTCGGATTCTCTTTGAGGATGTTGAGCATCGCGCAGACCAAGCGCTCTCGTACCTTTCGGTTCGTACATCCGGTTATCCCTTCGACGGCAACGATTTCCAGCTCTTCCCAGTTCAGGTTATCAATGAGCCTTAGGCGCGCATCAGCAAACGCTTCATTACCGGACAGCGCAAGAAGCGCCTCCAAATACGAGCTCGTCATCGTGTAGATGCGCGCACGTTAGTGTTGCTGTGGTGCGAGGTGAGTAGCCGGCACCGGATGTTTGTTGATGACGCCGGGCGGCATTCCCCGGCGGAGCTAAGGACTAGCGCATCGTCTGAAGCTCGGACCGACGAACACCAAACCTTGAAGGTCTGCGAATCCGCTTCATGCCCAGCATTCTTCCCACATACACTATTGCATCGCACAGCCTCTCCACAACAATGTCAAGAGCAAACTCGTGCATCTCCACAGGGCTTATGTGACATCCAGTAAGGCCAACAGCTGTGGAAATCCACTGCATCATGCAGCAGACGGTAGCATTATCGTTACTTACACGTGTAATCCATCTCTCCTCCACGTCACCCCTCTTCAGGAGGACAAAAGCCCCGAACACCTTACTTGACCGCGCAATCAAAGCAAACGACTGGGAGTCTATATCGCGTTAGCATCTTTACAACTTCCGGCTTGAGACCAACGTAGACTCTAGCATACTTGCTCAGCTTCTTTCTCGCCGCCTGCCTCCTTCGCCATTATCCTCCAACGACCCAAGCAGCGATGTGATACAGCGTCCCGCATTCACGGAGCACCTCAGGTAGCGGAAAGACGCAAAGCTTTTCACCAGAGCTATCAGCTACGACTCGTACGCAGGGGCGTTTTGTGCGAATGCAAGTATCGCAAGCCCTATGCGTGTTCCCATGAGCCTTCTCGAAAGCGGAACGATGGTTGCCTTTCTGCCAGACGACCATGTTGACGCATTTCGCTCCGTCCTTATAGCGTGCTGCGTTCCTAGCCATCGCTCCGTATGTAGCTCGTTTGGTGTCGTTGAATGCGAAGTACGTCAAGAATTTGGCATGGATACTGATACCGACATCGAGACTGCCGAGCGACTGCCAATCTTCGAGCCCGACATCGTCCGGAATCCACGCACCTATCCTTAAAACGGGTATATCGAAGGTTGTGGGGCGTATGTCGATGACATTGATGTTGGCGCTGGCGTCTGCAGGGGTCTCATCTTGTAGGCCGGGGCCATTTTTCGCGCCCATACCCTCCCAGTCTTCATCGTCATCTTCTTCTCCATTGAACAAGTTGCTGATACCGTCATTGGTCGCGTTGAGCGTGACCGCTTTAAGAAGTCGGACGCCAAAGGGATCTGCATTTTCCGCGGCCTTCCTTTTGGTTTGGATCCTCTGCGATGATATGCCAGATATGGTGGATAGAGTGGGATTGTAAGCTTCGTGAGCGTGTGCAGGTTGAGGTTGCATAGGATGCTGGGAGTCTGTGATAGTATTGATCAGTAAGCGGTTCTTACCAGCCTTTGGCTTCTTACTATTGTTTCTGACCGTCAACTCAGACGTCGCTCTCTGCTCTGCATCGATGTGATCAAGCATTTGGTTAGTTAATTGCTCAAGGGCTTTGCGTTTGGTGCAGCGCTTTGAGCCGTCCTGGAGTAGAGTACGGAGTTCATCGTCGCTGAGACTTTGAACGAGCTTCGAGCGCGCGTCGGCGAACGCATTACCGGAGAAGGCGAGCAGCGGTTCGAGGTACGATTTCGCCATATCTTGATTGTTGAGCGTCTCAAATGCAGAATGGGATATGTCGCAGTGCGAGCGAGGGAAATTTCGATTTGTTGACATCCAGGCAGATACGATACGCTAGCGCCAGAAACGGAAATACGTCAGAGCAAACGGGAGCACCACCACGAGCACACACGGCGTTAGAGGCTGTCTAAATGCTGAGATCCCATGGTATATATTCTGCGAACTGCGACACAACATCTAGCCATGCGAGGCCGATTCCTGGCATCCCCGCCGCCATCACCACCCCAGATTCGGCTGCGCGACAAAGTCATACACAAACACCTGCTCGAGCAACGGGTCCGTCTCATTCTTCCGCGATATCAGCTTCAATCCTTCTACAACGACGGATACGTCACATACCTTCAGCTTATCGTGCGTCGGATCTTTATCGAACACCTGTCTCGAGGCTTCATCCTACTCATTGTCAGCACTCGTGATGCGGTCGCGTCACCATCTATTCCACACCTTGAAGACTACAACGAAACCCAAGTCCCACACACTCTCCCGCTTCACATTGGTTAAGTTCAATGGCGTATTCAGCGGCCTCCCTCCCTTCGGCCCTTCGACCAGTAGCTCCGGGTGCTCAGCATAGAGCGCGAGAAAAGCGGATGCGCGATCGCCTTTTTGCTCCGCGGTGACGTTGGGGTGGAAGCGAAATGTCGCTATGCGCGTTACCGGGGATGTATCGGTAGAGTTGGGCGTTGAACTGGACATTGTGAAGGAAGAAGCAAGGCTGAAGAGGGCGGCAAAGGCCGTGAGGAGGCGGGAGTGAAGTTGCATTGTGCTGAGGTAAAAGCGGCGGGGTATGCGCTTTAAGCAATGTAAGACGGAACAATGCTGTGCGACTTCAACCAGGGCGTAACACCATAGATGAGGAAAGTCGTTGTGCATGCAGTCGGTCGCGATACTCACCGCGTATTAGTGCGCTAAACTTTAATCTGACCTGCATGCGGAGGTGGGGATACTCGGGCGGAGAGCCGAAGTCACCACATCACGTTTGCATCGACGCACGCTGAATGAACTTTGGAGTTTCATTATGATATCACTTTTTGTATACATGCAATAAACACCACCAAGACGTCTTAGTTTTAATCGCGATAACACATGAAACGACAAAGAGAAGAATGAGACACGAGTAAACAGCTGGCCAGCAATTGCCAAATAACAGAACGTCCGGACATGGCGCCAGATACAGAAAAACAGATGAAAGAACTGTAGGGCAAGCCCTTTGGACTTGCGCTCAGTGCGACAGCGATAAGAGCCCTGTGAACTTCCAGTCGACTCAAGCCCGCTCGACGTTGAGGGTCGGTGAGGGGTGGCAGATGAGCCAAGCCACTTTTGTGGCCTTGGTCTCATCGCAGCTGGGTGATGGAAGCACTTTTGTGTTCCAAACATCTCCAGCTAGTATCCACCAAGTGTCTTGGTGGTCGATGGCTGATGAGGCAAGACCTCAGGCCTTGCGCTCATCCCGACCGGCGGTTCAAGCCTCTCTGGGTCTGTCACTCATCTCGGTCGTCAGCTGTCAAGTCCCTCTGGACGGATTCAGCTGAGCCAGTGCAGTAGGTATGACCCCGATGGGCGCGCTTCTCTGGGCGCGGCGGTGGGGTAGTAGAGGTGAGCTCTTTGAGCTTGCACCTGGTCGACTGGGTGGTGAAGTCTCTCTGGACTTTTGACCAGCTCGATCGGCGGCCGTCACTGTCATTTGACATGATCGGCTGGAAGTGTTGTCGGGATAGCTTGGATGGACGCGCGCTTCGGGCGCGGAGGTAGATGGGAAAAGCTCTTTTGGCTTTCGTTTGGAAGGGAGGCCGTCCTAACACGGCGAAGATGTTTCGAGCAATAGAAGCCTCTTGGACTTCGATGCATGCGACTTGTTGGTTGATGAATTGGCCACCGCTGGTCTGGTATCTCTGTTGGGAGATCCGCCCGGCGACTGGTGAAGATAGCCTGATAATTGCGCTTTCTAGATCTGGCGACGACGAAGCACTGAGGTACGACGCTGAGCGCTACTGCGCTTTTGGTCCTTTGCATCCTCATTGTGGCGAGCCTCGCGCTGTTTCGCGACCACTTCCTTGGTCACGAACTTCTTGTTGCGACCCTGGCGCTCTACTTGCTCTACTTCGTCTGCGAGGCTGGCAGAGCGACGACGCTTAACACCAAGAGAGGAGGTGGAAGATGGCGTAGGAGATGGAGCTGGAGGAGCTGACGGGGCGGAAGCTGACGGGGCTGACGAGCCGGCAGCAGTTGTTCTAGCCTGGGATAGTCGAGCGGAGCGACGCGGGTTGATCTCGACTCGTCCGGACGTCTGTGAGGTCGCTGAACCGGGAGGGCTCAGGAAAGATTGACTGCCAAAGCGGCTGCGGGAGAACGAGTTGGGGAAACCTTGGGTCTGGCTGAACGGGCTCTGCGACCGACCCAGAGTCTGCTGCGACTCACCAAGGTACGTGGTGTCAGGTGTTTCCTGGAACTCATTCTTGACACCTGAAACCGAAGATTGGACGCCCGAGGACTTGGACGAGCCGACGGAGCTCTGGAAGCCGGAGGCGTCGTCCTCGACCTTGATTGCGGGTGCGGAGGATGGTATGTGCTTGACAGCAGGGCGGGTCTGCTTGATAGCGCCGAGGTTGACAGAAGTGAAGGAGACGGCGTCGGGGTCCATCTCTTCGAAAGCGTTGAGGGTGCGCTTGACGCTCGTGGTCGTGGCATTTTCGGACTTGACGGCGAGAGCGGGCGCAGGCTTGGGAGCGACCTCAACCTTGACGGGAGGCTCTTTCGCGAGCTTAACCGAGTTCTGGATCTCGGCCTGTGCAGACTGGTCTTTCTCGACCTTGGTCGGCGTCTTCACAGCTGCGACTGACTTCTCTTTCAGAGGCCAGCCCTGAAGCAGCGAGTTCACGCTGACGGGCATCGGCGGTTGCAACATGGACGGCGAGACTGGATCGTTCCACGGAACGTCCATGAAAGACTCGTTGATGTTGCGAGGCTTGCCGAACCGCGAGAAGGTGTCGAGATTCGATCGATGAAGCGTCTTCGCGGGTGCTTTCGAAGTTGCGCCCTGGTCCTTGAGCTGAACTCTCCTGTCGCGAAGGCGAGCACTGTTGTCCAGGTCCGCTTGGAGGTTGGGACGCTTCGGATCGTGGGGGAGCGAGTAGGGCTCAAGCTTCTCGTCCAAGAACTGCTTGAGCTCTTGGGAGCAGCTGGGCGGCAGCGTGACGCCGTGGTTCTTGATGATGTCCTTGATTCCGTGGAAAAGGTCGACGGGCCTCTGCTTCAGCAAGTAGGCTCCTATGCGATGTCAGTAATTGAGGTATCCGGTAAGTGGCGCGGACGCGGATGTACTTACCGGTGACGGGACGCATCTTGAGCGCGGCCTGCTGGTTGCTGGAAGGGGTGGAAGACATCGTATGAGTGGACTTGAAAGAGTGTGAAGTAGATGGATGTTGACGAAGAATGGTGGTTGGTAGTGTGCTTTGGAATGCGAGCGGCTGTGATAATGCGCAGAGTGCAGGTAGCGGGTGGTATATAAAGACTGATGGTCTGAGCTGTCGCGTTGCTTTGTAAGAAGCGGGGCGTCGCGGTCTTATCTTGAACTGGTGTTGTGATTGCCTAGACGCAAGTATTCACTATGTGGTTATGGGTCGCAAGCACAATGTGAAGCGCGATGTCGGCGCAAGCGACGCCGGAAGCAATGAATGTGTCGCAATCTCTCTAAATCGCGCATCCAAGCACTTCATTGCGGAAGTACCCCTCTTTGTATCGCCGGGTGGGTCATAGAGGTGACGATGCGCGCAGTCACGTGTTGTGACATTCACTGCGACGTTACCACGTTTGGTGTTCAAACCCGCAACCGACGTAGCAAACCCGTCGCGCTGCTTCCCCATCTACAAAATACACCTACGGAAAGGTCAGCGCAATACCTCGTGCTATCGGCGCAGCCTCAGTATACTGACCTACCACATCCCCGTATATTCAAAGCATGTACCAACTTTTTAGTCCCGTATCCATGGTTCTGCGATCAGAACGAAAAATTGTGAAGTCGTTTTGGCGATGCGCATTCTGCTCGTTCGCACGCCAGCTCTCTTCCTCCATCTTCTCGCAGGGTCGCCATCACGGTAAGGCAGTGAGGTTGGCGCAGGCGTTCGCACTTCCCTATTCCGATTGAATCGCGCGTTGAAGTTCTCGCATTCACCACATACGGCAACCACCACCTCGTCCACCACGATACGAAGTGCAGTCACCCACCTCCTCTGTACACTCCGCACACCATCTTCGCGTTCCGTTGGTACATTATCGCGCAACTGTAGTCAGCAATCTTATAATAATATTACACCACTTAGAGTAGTCACAGCACTCATTGTATACCTCAACATCCAAGATGGTCGACAAGATCGGGCGCTCACGCAAAGCTGTAGGCAGCAACGACCCTCCCGGAAAGGGCGATAGCGCTCCGAGAGGCCGCCAACAACGCGAGGCCTCCTTACATACATCACAATACTACAGCGCTCACGACGGGTTTGAAGATGCGCCCATGCTATCAGCACTAAGCGCTTCACAACAGCGCGATTTTGAAGAGGCGCAAGCGGAACCAGAGCCACGAGCTCGTCCGGCCAACATCCGCACCAGCACCGCCACTGAGTCGCAAATCGGTGCCGACGAAGACGAAACCCCCTTCCAGTCAGCATCCGCTTCTTCGTCCTCTTCATCAAGCTGGGAAGACCTCCCATCGTCCCAAACCACTTCCCTTCCGACCGCCACGCCCTTTCCCGGCACCTGGCCTGCCGCCCTCCACGACACCAGCGCCGCGCTGTCCGAGGTCTCCACTGCGACCCTCTCCTTCGCCAGCGCCATCGCATCCTCGGGCTTAGGCCGCGCATCGTGGAGTATCGGCGCAGCAACTCTTTCCTCCACCAACCGCGCGGCCCTATCTTTCACCGCCTGGGGCATGGAGAAGACAGGAGTCATGCCGAATGAGCTTCCTCGGCCGATGAGGAGGTGGATCCAAGGGAAAGAAGACAGGGACCGAAGGAGAAGACAGGCTGAGCAGAGAAGGAGAGAGAGGAGAAGAAGGGAACGAGATGGACAGGTGCTCACTGGAGGAGTGGATGAGGAAGGGGGTTATGTGCTAGCGACGCATGATATGGATGGAACGCTGAACTTCGAGGGTAGGGGGCCTGTGGATATGCGCGAAGAAATAGGTGAACAGGAAGGCGAGGAGGGATTCGCGGCGGGAGGACCAAAAGAGATCGAGGAGCGGGGGGCCGAACATGGAGACGATGGCCTTATGCGAGTGTCTGAGTTTGATGATGATGAAGACTTGTAAGAGAAGGTGGTAGATAGACGAAGAAGGATGCGACGTAAATGTAACCATGACACTATATAATGAAGCCTGCTGACACTGCGTCATGCGCCTAGAACGAGATCGCTCGTACAAGACCCCATGTCACCTATTCTGTCCCCCATCCCAACTATGCCACAGATCTACAAATTAACAAACTTCGCAGCATTGCACTGCGTGTCACTCGCAATCGGCTTCCCGTTCAATGCAATCTTGAGATGTCCCTCCCAAGTACCCCCATGGTCCATCTTAAAGCAAGCGGCATCATACCCATTTGCCTGCATCCACTTGAGTTCGCGCTCAACCGCGTTCCTAATTGTCTTCGTCTCCGAAGTGGTATCGCACTTCGGGCCCGAGGTAGTTGCGTAGTACTGCCACACAGCGCCGTCGACGTTGCCAGAAATCACGGAGCAGCTGTTGACATCGGATTGGCCTTTGATGTAGACGGCGAGGTAGTTGGCGATGGAAACGATGGCGAGCGTGGCAGTTCCGCCGTTGCTGACGAAGCCGGCGGCGACTTCGATGTCGGTGCGGCGGTCGAGAGGGGCGGCGATGTCCCTGGAGTCGAGCAGGGCGTAGCTAGAGCTTTCATGTCAGTGGATTGCAACAACCGATGTATGTCAAAGGGAGAAACGATGACTTACTCTTTCTCGGGGGCACCGATAGCAAGAGACTCTGCAGCTCCGAGCAAGCAGAAGATGTGGGCGAGTTGAAAGCGCATTGTGAAGAAGTGAGGTATATCGAGAGGGGTGTCTTGGCTGTGTATTGTGACTTGAGAGGAACTGTTGTGATGGGTTGATAGCCTTCATTTAGACGCTTCAACTTTTTATATACATCGCAAAATGAACACGACCTACCTCAGGCCTGCGCGTTACCTCCTCCTCTCGGAGACGATCATGCCCTCAACAGCCGTTTCTGCCTCGTCGGCCTGAGCTTGATGAGGCCTCCAGACAGACTGCTCGCCTTGATCACAAATTGAGAGATGAAGTTTGATGGACGGCGACGTGAATCCTTGTCGCAGCGCTGTGTGAAAGGACCGAGATAGATGATCGCAGGATGCCTGATGTACGATGCAAGAAAGTAATCAAGTGTCGCAGTCAAAATAAGCGCGCATCTACAAAGCTTATGCCGATCTTGATCAGTCTTGGTTTCAAGATCCGGAGGGTCGGTCGGCGCAAACGTATGGTTCTTTTACGGACCGATCCGGAACGCCTTAGATACACAGCCTCGTGCGGCTATGTGCAACGACTAAACATGGAACGCCTGAGCATTACTGACGTAGATAGTCTACCGGAAAGGGCTATTTTTGAGAAGCTTAGCTTTGCGGGGGCTAAGATCGCTGAAACGACAAGGCAAGATGGGGTCCAACATCGTGATTCGGCCCGCCGCACGGACTGAGGAAGGAACGCCTTGGAGACGGCGAAGTGCAACACCATGATCGACCTTGTATAGACGCTGATCCAAGGAGGGCGCCTTACACATACAGCGCTGTGCGGCGGTATACACGGGATGAAAACAAGATAGCATCGGTTCACTTGCTCGCGGAGACACGCATCATGCCTCTATCTAGTGTACTAGGGTCACGTCGCAAGGCGTTTCTCTCCAACCTCGTTGTCATCAGGCGTGCATCGAGACAATTTGTGCTCGACTATCACTATGTCAATGATCGAAACGACTTACCATATGCGAATATATATATACCGGACAAGACACCCAGATCTATCACACCATCCTCAATACTCAAGCATCACTACTCTACTCTACTCTTAACTCTTACAACAAACTCCAACACCTCCTCCTACTACCCACCATGCGTTTCTCAACCATCGCCGCTACCGCTCTCTGCCTCGGCTACAATGCCATGGCCATTTCTCTTCCCGAGCGAGAGGTGGCCGCGCTGCCAATCTCAGAAGAGGAGGCACAGTCCAGGTACGATAAAGAAGCCCCTTCCGAAGCATTTCCAATCCCATACTAACAGTTCACTCCAGCGACCTCGCCAAACGACTCTCTATCGAAGAGCAGGTCGCTATCCTGGGCGCAGGCGCCGTGGTCGCGCTCAACGTGAACGCAATCGCGACCTATGTTTCCAACCTCATGAAGGCACAGAGCGATGCCAACACTTGTGGCGTTATCTCCGGCACTGTTGATGGGTACGTCTTCTATCTCGCCCCTCCCTCCCTGTCCTCCTGCCTTCTATCCTCATCATATCTCAGCCGCTGACGTATCACCCCCGCAGAGTAAACTACCAATACCACGCCGCCACCACCGGCAAAAACTGCGACACAACCGCCGAAGTCAAAACCATGAAAGACGCTGTGTCACGCGGTCTGGAATTCATGAGTACGCACAACATCAACCAGGCGTGCTTTAACATGCAGCACGGCGGCACATGGAGGGGATTGCTGCAGCTGGCGAGTGGGGATAGGCAGATTATCAATGGCAAGTGCGATAGTGTCACGTACACTTTGACTGTTACTTAGATTGATTGGATAGCGGGGGATAAAGAAAGGGAATGGGTATGGTGTAAGGACGAGTAGGGAAGGGCTAGGGTAGATAGGTGTAAGATTGAGTTTTATGTTGACACCGTGTTTTGAATCTTTCTACCTGTTTTAATTGTTCATCTTTCCTTCGATGCATGTGCGTCACTTCGTCCGTTTGCACTATCCTCATCTGCGCAATTCCACCGCTAGCTCCGTTGCGCCGCGCCACGCAGTCAACAACAACACCGCTCTTTCTTCTCTCCACCTTCCACCCTACATTGCCTTCCTTCGCGTTGCTCGCCATGTCGACCATCGACGCCTACCTCAAGGCCTTGCTCACGCTTTCCGAAAACGAGCAGCTCGCTACCGCCCGCCAGAACCTCCTCCAAGGCCTCACCGACGACGACCTTTCGGAACTACTCAAGAAAGCAGTGGGAAGAGAATTTGCGCGCGGAGGCTTGGAGCATATCATCTCGCTTATCTTGGATGTCACCGCTAGGGACCAGGCCCCAGTGTGTGTCTCACGCGACACCTGGCGCCAAGATGGAGCAGGTGCAAGAAAACGTCATTCAGCAGCAATGTGAGTGCCCAAAACAAATTTTGTAGATTTGAACTGACTATGAACAAGCTCTGAGCGAGATCATGGTGATCAACGATATTACAGCATCAGGCAGACCAGCAACACCAGCAACACCAGCCGCGTCGGTAGCAGGCAAGCGACCACTTCCACCGTCTCCCGGCGTTGTGGTCAGCAAACGTTCCAGACCCAATACCTCATTTCTGCACCCATCCAACCGGGTCCTCTCGCCGATAATACAATACGTTGCTCCTATGAACGAAGCTGATACCTTTCAACTTTGACTCATTCCATAAGAAAACCCGGAATGATGCAGAGGTGACCTCTCTAGACTATCGGGTGCGTTCTTGAGCAGGTTTCGGATCGATGAAGGAAAACCTACCCTCGATGTATACATACACTTTCAAATTGCATTCCGAAGCTCCAAGAGACGCTGTAGCCTTCTGGTTCACGTTTCGGTGGATGGATGTGTAAATAAAACTCATGATCAACACGTTTCTTCATGCATCGAGAGCCGAAAGAAAGTTAGTGGCACCGCGGCGGTATCTCTTACTTTCCTGCTACTGTGAACAACGTGAACATGTGCAAGGTTTCAGATCAGGATCGATGATCAAGTAAAGGTATCCCCGTCTCCGCGTCTCTCACCTACCGTCCTCACGCAATCCACACCCTATCTTTATATACTGCCTTCCATCTATCTTCTCTTCTTCTTTCCTACGTCATACTCTCATCTATATACTACTACCACTCTCTCCTTCTACACTGCCACCCAAAAACCCAGTCTAGCTGCTCACACCATCATGTCAACCGCCAAAGGTTACCACAATGCGCTCTTAGCCCTCTCTGGCAACCCCGTCTTTGCCGCCGCACGAGACACTCTTCTCGCGAGCATCAGCGACAACGAACTGCTCGACGTTATTACCTACGGGCTCAAGACTGGTTCTCCTAGAGAAACTCTCAATGCCATCGCGACACGACTACTTGATGGGCTTGCAAGGGCTCGAAACGCCGACGACGCGGCAGCACCGGTAGAAGGCAAACATGGCGGCGATGATGGTGGTGATGATGATGAAGACAGCGGCGGCGGTGGTGGCGTCCGCAAGAGTGGTCGAGGTGGTAAACCTAAAGCGCAGGAAGTCAAGAGTAAGTTAAACTCTGATATGAAGACTGTAACTAACATGCAGAAAGTAGTAACACCCAGAAAGCGTGCACCGCCTAAACCAGCTCAGACCCCAACATCGCAAGGAACCCCATCATCAACTACAAACAAGATAAGAACGGGAGACTGCCTCATGCAAGATGGAAAGAAGAGAAGGAACGCAAGTCCAGAGCCAATGGATGATGACGAAGATTTCTTCAAGGCAGAGAGTGTGGAAGAGGAGGAAGTAGCGAAGGTTCCCGCAAAGAAAGTAATCAAGAAGCCTTCCACCGAAGCTCCGGCGACCAAGAGCAAGACCACGGCATCTTCTAGTACCACCAAAGAAACCGACAGCAACGTGAACACCAGCTCCGAAGACGATGCCATGTGGAAAGAGATACAGAAGCTCTCCGTGATCAGGGATCTGCAACTCGTCAACAGCAAGGACACCGATGGCAAACAAAAGAATGGCGATGGGAAGCAAGCCAATGCCAGAGTCGTGACTTCAAGCATTAACAAGCCTATCCGGATCCCCGATGTCGAAGTCCGCTTCATGATGCCTCACATGTCATCTATTCCCTCCAATGCCTATCGAGGAACGATGGACGTCTTCCCACTCTCATTCGTCAAAGAGTTTGTTCGCAATTTTAACAGAGACTACCTCGTGGGCGAAAAGAAAAGAACCGCGTTCCGCGACATGATCGACCAGAAGTTTCCACATGGTAGTTGTGTACACTGCGTCCTGAATCCGGGGAACGCTCAAGGATGCCACTGTTCGGTCAGCGCCTACAGTCCAAATCGGAAAAATGTTTGCGATGCTTGTCTAGGAGAGACAACACTGTATGCCAGATCAGAAGAGTGGGCCAATCATGACAAGGGTCCTGGAGCTATGAAAATCGTGCTGACGGTATATCCGAACCCTCAGGGTTTACGTAGCGGGATAGATTGGCGGAATATGCGCTTCTGGGTAGGAACTCGGGGTCATATCTGTGATGGACTAAAGTCAGCGGAGACTTGAGCGTTTTTCTGGTGTATGTGGCGACTGCGTTTCTTGATTGCGTGTCGGCGACAAGCCGATGTGGTTCCAAGATCGGAAGACAGCGGCTGCTGAGAAAAGTATGGTCATTCTTCGGGCGGTTTCTATTGCGTTCCATCTTTACGCGGCTTCCATCACCCCTCCCCCAAAAGCGAATAGGCGTTCCCAACTTGTGGCTTCGCCTGCATCCTCTGCTCAGCCTTCTTCTTCTTCCTCTCCCCTTCCCTCATCTGCCTCTTCTTCTTCTTATTCGACACCTGCTCGCTTGGTACTTCCACACCAGCAGATCTATATATCTCTTCAATCAATTCCTTCAACTTGTCATGTTCAGCCAGGATGCGCTTTGTCTGTCCCGGAACACCCATGACCTCAGGTATCGAGGGGAAGTCGGACATGTGATTGGCGATCTTGGACATGTTCTCGCGCAGCTGGGCGTCTTCGACATCTTGTCGATCATCGACGTCTACTATAAGATCAGGTACCATTGTCGCTTCCCCGACTTTAATCATCTGGAGTAGCATGCGTAACGAGTAGATAGCGGCATGTAATCGCGCCGTGAGGTGTACGAAGGCCCAACTGTTATCAAAATCGCAGTTCAGCACTCGTTGGACGAGGACAATGGGAGGCGGGGTGTTCAGTTCGTTGAGAACTAGACTGAGACCGAAGAGCGACCATAGAAGCTCTCGACTGACAGACTTCACATCACCCCATTCTTTCAGGCTGCCCATCTGTCTCTCCAGGTCCTCCACGGGGTTTTTCTCGAAGAGTCTCGAATCCACTTTGATCTCTTGGATCGTGATACCTTGCGCCTTCCTTCTGTGCTCTTGTACGTAAATGATTTCTTTCTTTGCTAGTAGATCGTAGGCTATTTTACGTATATCGTGGCCGACGTTCCATGCTGATGCTTGAGTAGGGTCTTCTATCAACAGAGGCAAGTACACCTGCGGGTATTCGAAATAGTGCAAGGCTTGATGTGCGTACTCGGATATCCGGACATCGATCTGAGGCAAATCTACCAAGTCCGGCTCATTCAGGTAAGCTGGTGTTGCGACCCTCGCGACGTATCGGCTGGCGAATTCAATGTATCGCGTGGACGCCTGGTCTACGTTCTGGGCTTGATGAGCTAGGAGCTTCGCACTATCTTGTGGGTTCTCGATAAGTGTATACGCGAATGTCGCTAGACTCGCTACTTGTAACTGTTTCCGAATCTCGTTCGGTGAGTACGCCTTGATGCCAGTCGCTACGTCCGCATCGTGGAGAAACACTATCAGTGTATCTACTGAGTAGTCATACAAGACAAGATCGGTGTCACTTGTAAAGATGATGTGTCGCAAATGTTCTTTGGCATGCGATGCGCACCAGTCGTCTGCTTCTCCCGGTACCGTCCGGGTCTTTGAGGCAAAAGGCGAACCTAGTAACGCTTCTTGTAGTGCAGGCGCAAGGAAGGCGTATGAGATGGACCCTAGGTATGTGGGAACAGGACAGGAAACGGTAGCATAGCTGTTGCGAAATTGCTGCACTCGTCTGTTGTTAGACTCGGTCCTGGATAGTCGCTCGGCTCGCTTTGAAGTAGGCAAGGCTCCATCGAAGTAGATGGCAGACCTGAGAACGTGCGATCAGCAATGGACGGCATAAGCTCACATCAGCACTCGCATAACGTGCATAGAACGGTCACGGTCAAGTGCAATCAAGCAACTTTCCCATATTGAATCCGCGATAAGTGAAGTTTTCGCAACCCCTGCAGCAATGGCGGTGAAGTGAAGAACATATGTGCGCACCTTATTGGCTTGCTGTGGTGGTTCCGTGTCCGGGCGCTGAAAAGCAACTGTGGTTTACTCACACCTTGATGTTGCTATTCTCCAACGAGGTCAGCCAGCGGAGTGCTTCAGCGACGATGTCTGCATAAGACGGGATTCGGATGGCGCTAGCGGCTGAAGCGAGGGCCAATTTGTGAGCGTAGTAGGCGAGCGCAGGACCGTCTATCACGGCAGAGTAGCCGTCTAGCTGTTCGGAGGAAAGTCGCGTCGCATAGGGTTCGAGACGCCTAGCGAGGCCTTGGATGCCCATGTTCACCAGGTGGTTGAGGGTGTTGGGAAGGAAGTTGTGTTCTAGTCGAGACGGAAGGAACTGTGGTATGCACACGGCCAGGGTACCCCCGCAAAGGGTCTGGGGCGAAGCGAGGCGGGGAGTGGTCAGTTGGAGGTGTTGTGCAGTGTCTCGGCCTCAGATGCAGGGCTAGCGCATGGGCGCAGCAGTGTTGGGACGTTGACGAGAAAAAGTCCTCGATGATAGCCAGCGTGGCGTTGGTCTTTCCGCTGATGAGCTAGCGCCGGCGTCATCCCGCGTGGTGGGGGAAGCTGGGCCCCTCACCAGCTCAAAAGTTGCCAGCTGCCACATCGCCCGACTCTCCAATTGCCTCATCTTTCTCTCACAGAGCTCGAAGAACACACACAGTCAATATGAGCGTCCGAACCGTTGAATTGAAGCCTTTCCAGGACCAGAAGCCCGGAACGTAAGTTGATACACCCGAATGAGCTGGGGAGGGCTGATGAAGCTATGGCGTTGGTGGATGATAGCTGACATTGATTGCTACAGTTCTGGTCTCCGCAAGAAGGTCAAGGTCTTCCAGCAGGAGCACTACTCAGAGTCCTTCGTTGCCAGCATCCTCCAGTCCATCCCTGAGGGCGTCGAGGGCGCATTCCTCGTCGTTGGTGGTGATGGCCGTTACTGGAACCCAGAGGTCACCCAGACCATTGCTAAGATGAGCGCTGCCTATGGCGTCAAGAAGCTCCTCATCGGCCAGAATGGCATCATGAGCACACCCGCTGCCAGTCACATTATCCGGATACGCAAGGCGACGGGTGGTATCCTCCTAACTGCCAGCCACAACCCCGGTGGTAAGTCCTCCACTACGCATACACTCCTCCTACCTAACACAACCAGGCCCCGATGAGGACTTCGGTATGAAGTACAACCTTGCCAACGGTGCCCCGGCCCCCGAGAGCGTCACCAACAAGATCTACGAAACCTCCAAGACCCTCAGCTCGTACAAGATCGCCGACATCCCTGACATCGACCTCAGCACCATCGGTACACAAAAGTACGGAAACCTCGAGGTTGAGATCGTCCACTCCACTGAGGACTACCTCAAGATGCTCAAGGACATCTTCGACTTTGACCTCATCAAGTCGTTCCTGAAGGAGCACTCCGACTTCAAGGTCCTCTTCGATGGCCTGAGCGGTGTAACTGGTTCCTACGGTGTCGACATCTTCGAGAAGGAGCTCGGCATCCCCAACAGCACACAAAACTGCGTCCCCAAGCCCGACTTTGGTGGCCACCACCCCGACCCCAACCTTGTCTACGCCAAGTCGCTGGTCGACGCCGTTGACAAGAACGGAATCCAATTCGGTGCTGCCAGCGACGGCGACGGTGACCGAAACATGATCTACGGCGCAAACTCTTTCGTCTCGCCCGGTGACAGCTTAGCCATCATCGCACACCACGCCGAGCTCATCCCATACTTCAAGAAGCAGGGCATCTACGGTCTTGCCCGTAGTATGCCAACCTCTGGCGCCATTGACCTTGTCGCTAAGAAGAAGGGTGTCGAGTGCTACGAGGTGCCCACCGGCTGGAAGTTCTTCTGCGGTCTCTTCGACTCTGACAAGATGAACATCTGCGGTGAGGAGAGTTTTGGAACCGGCAGCAACCACATCCGTGAGAAGGATGGTCTGTGGGCTGTCGTTGCCTGGTTGAACATCTTGGCTGGTGTCGGACAGCAGACTGGTACCACACCCAGCATTGCGTCGATCCAAAAGGACTTCTGGACGACCTACGGCCGCACATTCTTCACCCGCTACGACTACGAGGGCTGCGAGACCGAGGGCGCTAACAAGGTCACCGCTCACATGAAGGAGCTTATCACCACCAAGAAGGACGAGTTCATCGGCTCCACCGTCGCTGGTCGCAAGGTGCTTGAGGCCGACGACTTCTCCTACACCGACCTCGACGGTAGCGTCAGCAAGAACCAGGGTATCTTCGTCAAGTTCGACGACGGTAGCCGCATCGTCGTTCGTCTGTCCGGCACAGGCAGCAGCGGCGCCACCATTCGTCTCTACATCGAGAAGCACACCAGCGACGAGTCGACATACGACATGGACGCGCAGGACTACCTCAAGGACAACGTCAAGCTCGCGACGGATCTCCTCAAGCTCCAGGAGTACGTTGGCCGCACCGAGCCCGATGTCAAGACCTAAGCGCGTTATTGGAACGGGGAACGCGTAGATGTAATAAGCATGATTAGACGAAATGTACACGAGATATCACAATAGTATCATAGCACCAATAAATGGAATAGCATGGTTCACTGCCCCGTGGCGATAATGTTGTTCGTCATGACCGCTTTGTGTTTGGGCGGGTGTGTGGCTTAGCTCCGACGTCATTGCCCAATCTAAACATGCTCCGTCCGCAGCGTCTCCATAACAGCCCTCTGGTCCCCACTGCGAAGGTCCCTAGTCTTCGACAACCCCCGCCTTTCACACATCCCTACACGCGCGTCTACACCTGTCGACGCTTTCTTGTCACTTCTCTCACCTCTTCAGATCATCCCTAGCACACGTGCATCGCAATCATGGCTGAGAAAGAAGGATCGGCAGTGCCACCCCAGGCCAGAGGCTCATGGACGAGCTTCCTCAAGGTACGTAATTATCCCAGCATCCTCACGTGTCTAGAGATATTCGCGCATAGCGAATAGGCTCGTACCTTCAGGAATTATGGTGGTTCGACTCGAACATGGCATTTGACTGATACACGATAGTCCATCGCGTCCTTCAATGGCGACCTGTCCACGATGACGGCGCCTGCCTTCATTCTCTCCACAAAGTCCCTCACCGAGTTCTCGTACGTCTCAGTCATTACCACCGCCTAGAAGACAACCCTAACCCACAACAGCTCATACTGGACCGAACACCCCTCCGTCTTCGTCGCACCGGCCGCCGAGAAGGACCCTGCCAAGCGGGCCATGCTGGTGCTGAAGTGGTTCCTGAGCACACTGAAGCAGCAGTACGCCAGTCGGTCGGAAAAGCTGGGTAGCGAGAAGAAGCCTCTGAACCCCTTCCTGGGCGAGCTCTTCCTGGGCAAGTGGGAGGACCAGGCAGGCATAACACAGCTCGTCAGCGAGCAAGTCAGGTACGCGCACACACGCGTTTGCGATGGCTAAGCCTGTCGTAAGCATGCCACGCGTATAGTACGGAAGAGCTAATGCAATGCGCGCAGTCATCATCCACCCGTCACGGCTTACTCCATCTGGAACGACCAACACGGCGTCCGGCTAGAGGGCTACAACGCGCAGAAAGCGTCCTTTAAGACGACCATCAACGTCAAGGTGAGTAGTCTGGAATCTATTGTGTACACTACTAAGATTTCACAGCAAATCGGACATGCCATGCTCCACCTCGACAACTACAACGAAAGCTACCTCATCACCCTCCCCGCCCTCCACATCGAAGGCCTCATCACAGGCTCCCCCTACGTCGAGCTCAACAGCAGCACCTACATCCAATCCTCCACCGGCTACACCGCGCGCATCGACTACAGCGGCAAGGGCTGGGTCTCTGGAAAGAAGAACTCGTTCACCGCCGTGCTATACCCTGAGGGCAAGGAGAAGGAAGCCATCTACAAGGCCGACGGCCAGTGGACCGACTCGTTCCAGATTAAGGATGCCAAGACCAAGGCCGTCGTGGACACATTCGACCACAAGTCCACAAAGACAACGCCCCTCACCGTCGCCGCCATCGAGCAACAAGACGACTTCGAGACACGGCGCGCGTGGAAGAAAGTGTCAGATGCGATTAACAGTGGCAACATGGACCTGACAAGCGCGGAGAAGACCATCATCGAGACCCGCCAGCGCGAGATGCGACAACAGGAGAAGGACGCTGGGAAGGAATGGGAGCGCAAGTTCTTCTCAAGAGCACCAAAGTACCCGTTGTTTGAGCAGCTGGCCAAGAAGATCGGTGAGGGTATCAACGATGGGCAGACGAATGGTGTGTGGAACTTTGACAAGCAGAAGGCGGATGCGGCGAAGAGTCCGTTCCATCCGGATGTTGTGCCGCCGATTTATGAGAGAAAGTGAGACAGGACCTCTTCCAGCACACACGTGGTGTCTCTTCGATCGTAAGGGATGAGTATAATAATGCTGTTCGGCACACTAGAATCAAACGGAAGCCGGTCGGGCTTGAGACAAAATCGCAGTACACGGGGACCAGCGACTCGTGGAGAATCATGCTATTTGAGCCATGACGGAAACGGCGCAATAGCCTGACGAGGATCTCTTTCATTGCTACAAGTAGTTCTAGTATAACGAGGGACGGAAACACATGAGTCTCGCATTGTTGAAGTTTGACCCTAATTTACATGTTGGTGATGATACAGATACGTTTACACATGCACTGGCGGAGTTTGACTGCTGGTTCAGCTATCGTGACGCGTCTTTTGAATCCGTCCTTTTATCGTTCCCATGTCGCTGCCAGCATTGTCGGAAGATTTCCATCTACACATAACGTTAGATTTGTTGTCTGAACATGACCTTACTTCTTTTGGTGATTCCTCGGCTTCTGCAAGTCCAGACGCCAGAAGCAACAACGCTGGTTGACAAAACTTACCTCCTGCTTACACGCCCGCCAGTCTTTCTTTTCGTAGTAACAATCCGTCAATTTTGTGTTCTCGTCTGCGCAGCCTGTGCTGTAGATACGCTTGTCCCTGGTTGTTCTCGTTAGTCTACCGAGCTTCTATTCGCTTTTCAACTTCTGCTCCTCGCTTCCCCGGATCTCCGCATCTACGCAAACCGAAAAGCTGGAATTTCTGTACGCACCAGTCATCGGGTTCATCGTCAATCAACAACTGCGCTGCTGCTGCGCGGGATTTGTCTTCGTTTGACATACTTCAAAGAGTTGGATAGAGGAATTGAGACGTGTGGTGTGAAGATATCGAGTCGCGGAAACTTGCGCAGGGTCTTGTCATTGAGAGAGTTGATTTGAGCACGGTCGGCCAATCTCGGTCCGCACTGCTACTAAACGTCACCTTCAGTCAGCATACGAAAGCCACATCGCATATCAATATCGCAAACATCATGGCGAGCAAAAAGATGAATGTACTGGTATACTCCGGTACGGGCTTTTCAAACTTCCACACACACCCCCACCAAGATGACTAAACCAGCCCAGGCAACGGAAGCACCACAGAGTCCGTCCGCCACTGTCTCTACACTCTACGTCGGCTTCTCTCCCCCTCATACGCCGTCATCCCCGTGACAGGCGATACTCTGATCAAAGAACCCTGGTTCAGTTCCTGCGCTCTACTCGTCTTTCCCGGTGGCGCCGATCTAGGCTACTGCCGCACGCTTAACGGCGAAGGGAACCGCCGGATTAGTCGGTATGTAAACGCCGGTGGTTCTTACCTTGGTTTCTGCGCCGGAGGGTATTACGGTAGCAGTAGATGTGAATTCGAAGTCAACGACCCCAAAATGGCTGTTGAAGGAGAGAGGGAATTAGGTTTCTTTCCTGGGACATGTAGGGGGCTGGCGTTTGAGGGGTTCAAGTATGCGAGTGAAGCTGGGGCGAGGGCAGCGGAGATTAAGATTGAGAAAGGTGCTTTTGAGGGTGTTGATGAGGGGGTAGGCGATGTGTTCAAGAGCTACTATAATGGTGGGGGTGTTTTCGTTGATGCAAAGAAGCTGGAGAGTAGGGGAGTGCAGATCTTGGCGAGTTATACGGAGGACTTGCATGTTGAGAGTGGGGAGGGGAAGGCCGCGGTTGTGTATCGGAAGGTTGGTGAGGGGCATGCGGTTGTTACTGGGCCGCATCCTGAGTACGTTTGCGTCGATCCATGTAACACGTTCTTACTAACATACCGTAGATTCGCGCCCCAAAACTTGAGCAAGATCCCCAGCTTACCTTCGTATGCTTCCGTCATCAGCGACATCGCAGCCACAGATGCCACTCGACTTGACTTCATGCGCTTAATCCTCCGCAAACTTGGGCTGCAGGTCAATGAGCAGGAACAAGCGGTACCGTCCCTTTCCCGTCTGCATCTCACCGCTCATAACCTACCAGACGTCGCTGACCTCGTCGCTACGTGGAGTGAAATCATCACTGTAGTTGATGGCGATGAGTATATTAAGGGCGAGAACGATGTGTTTCGCATCGAGAAGGAGGGTAGTGCATGGAGCGTCAAGGAGTTGAAGAGGGCTGTTAGCGCTGTGTCGGAGAAGCTGCCTACTCTTGCTTCTGTTACGAACAGTAGCAAAGAGGGTGTTGAAGAACAAACTCAAGAAAAGGAGGACGATAACAAGAAGAAACCCAAAACACCAGAGGAGGAGATACAGGAATGTGTCGCGTACACCTCCGCCACCTCCCCCGACCAAATCGTATCCTACGAGAAGATCGTGAAGGTCATAATGCCTCACGAGAAGGCTTTGCCATCAGCTGAAGAGACGAAATTCCACCACGAATCCTTCTACGCAAACCTCCACCACTACCACACCAAGCTCCGCAACCCGAACGCTTCCTTCGGCAAACACCTCATCTACGGCGAAGTCGTAACATCCACCAACACGCTCCTCGAGAAGAACCCGTCCCTCCTCCGCAGCCTACCGAACGGCTTCACCATAACAGCAACCACGCAAATCGCGGGTCGCGGAAGGGGAAACAACGTCTGGATCGCTCCACCCGGCGCATTGATGTTCAGCACCGTTCTCCACCATTCCTTCACACTAAGCCAATCCGCACCCGTAGTTTTCATCCAATACCTCGCCGCGCTAGCCATCGTCCAAGGCATACAAAACTACGCGCCCGGCTACGAAAAGATTTCCGTGAAGCTGAAGTGGCCAAACGATATCTACGCTCAACTACCTGGCTCGTCCAACAATCCCGTTGTGAAGATTGGCGGGATACTGGTGAATAGCAGTTATTCGGGGAGTACGTATGATGTAGTCACAGGGATTGGGCTGAATCTGAGTAACGCGTTACCAACCACAAGTCTCAACCTCCTCGCCAAGTCTCTAAACCCGCCGCTTAAGGACTTCACGCCGGAGAAACTCCTAGCGAGCATACTTGCGCACTTTGAAACTCTCTACTCCACGTTCACGCAATCGGGCTTCACACGTGATATGGAGGAGTTTTATTATGCGAATTGGTTGCATACGGATCAGCTTGTTACGCTGGAGAGTGTGGATGGGGTGGAGACCGGGACGAAGGCGAGGATAAAGGGGATTACGCGTGATTGGGGGCTCTTGCTGGCGGAGGAGGTGAGGGAGGTGGATGGGAGGGGGACGGGCAGGGTGGTGCAGGTGCAGAGTGATGGGAATAGCTTTGATTTTTTTAGGGGGTTGGTTAGGCGGAAGGTCTGATGTGTGGTAAGTGAGGAGGTTGGATGGAGATGTACATGAGCAAGAGACGCGCTCTAGACATTTCGTCCTTCAGAGTACGCTCTGGCTACACTTGTTAAGTTTAGTACAATCTTCGTACGAACTTACCAACTGTCTTTTCTAGGTTGTTCGAATGGTAATGTCATGTAAGAACTTAACAGTACAGACAAAGTTTAAGATCAACAATTAGCCGTAGTATGTGATGTACGGCACGTTGGAAACCCGAACGCCGCTTTCGGCCTGAACAGCACGCGACCACCGACTTCTAGCTAGGACATCCACGCCGACCATCCATCGCCACAAACTTGTTCACGATGTCGATCCAGCCACAACTTGGAGCTGCGGCGCTATATGAGCACGCTGTTACGCGTCCGCATAAAGTCATGGATATGCTGTAACGAATCTCGAAGGGCATCAACATCCGCGACGGACGTTCGGCCGAACGATTGAGTACAAGTACAACGAGCAAGTGCTTGAAAGCGTTGCGCTACTACATGATCATAACAACCACTTCTCGGCTATAACTTTGAACCATCATCACCGCTATTAGGAGAGCACACCATATTTCGCCCGTCATGGCTTCATCAACCTCCCAACCGCAAGCAGACACCCTAATCCGCGCCGGCACAATCGAAACACTCCAACCCGGCATGCCACCACAGCGCTCTATAGCCCTCCTCTCTGGCCGCATCATCGCACTCTCCGAGGACCCAGCCGGCCTAGACGACTTCATCGGCAGGGAGACCCAAATCATCGACGTACCAGACTCCACAGTCCTCCCCGCATTCACAGATACGCATACCCATCTCATTCTCGCTGGTCTGACCTATTTCGACGTCCCAGTCAATGACGTAAAGAGCCTAGATGAGCTGTTTGCAAGATTGAAGAAGCGGGCGAGCGAGACGAAAGAGGGGGAGTGGATTTGTACGGCGACGGATTGGTTGGAGTATAATATCAAGGAGCAGAGACTGCCGACGTTGAAGGAACTCGATGCAGTGTCTACCAAACATCCCATCATGGTTATGCGCGGTGGACATAACGTCGTCGTCAACTCAGTCGTTGCGAACCTGCTGAACGTAACATCCGACACGCCATCACCACCCGGCGGCCTCATCGGAAAAGAAGCAGACGGAAGTCTATCCGGTCTCTTCCAAGACTCAGCCACCGTCCCCATCCTCAAACTAAAACCCTCCACAACCCTCCCAGAACGAATCGCAGGACTAGAAGCCGCATCCGCAGCCTACGCCGCAACAGGCACATCCAGCGTCCGCGACTGCTACGTCCCGCTCCCGGACCTAGACGCCCTCATCGCCACGCACTCCGCCGGAAAACTTGCCGTGCGCGTCCACGCCCTGATACCCGCCGTAGGCATGACCACCGCCTCCCAAGTCGAATCCCTCCTCTCCGCCATGGAATCATACCGGCATATGCAAACAGACCCCTACCTCTCCGTCTGGGGCGTCAAGTTGATGGTCGACGGCGGCATGGAAGCAGGCGCTGTATCTGAACCTTTCCTGGAGATACCCCCCGGCCGCGAAAAAGACGCAAATTGCAATTGCTGCGGGTTGCCTAGTTACCACGGTATGCTCACGTGGGAGAAACCCGCCCTCATCGAGGCCATGACCGCAGTCGTACGTCGAGGCTGGAAAATAGGAACACATGCGTATGGCGACCGGGCAGTGAAATTGGTGTTGGATGTGTACGAGGAACTCATGCATCGCTTTCCTTACTTACAGCCTGGAACACTGGTTATGGAACATGGGGGTTTGGTGTCGCCGAGTGAGCAGAAACGTGCTGTGGGGTTGGGTATTGCGACAACGATTCAACATCCGCTTCTCCATAATGCGGCGGGGATACAGGAGGTATACTGGGGCCGCGATCGCGTATCTCGCACTTTCCCCGCGCGGACGTGGCTGGATGCTGGGGCGCTGATAGCTGGCGGGAGTGACTATCCTGTTGGTAGTTTTGCGGCTATGCGGTCGGTCTGGGGGATGGCGAGCCGTGAGACTGTGAATGGGGTGACGGGGGTTGAGCATGCGATTACCGTGGAGGAAGCGGTTGCGTTGCATACTACTAAAGCTGCGGAATTACTGAGGGAGGAGGGGGAGAGGGGACGGCTTTTACCGGGGTTTGTGGCGGATTTGGCAGTTTGGGGGGTTAATCCGCTTAAGGTGGATGACTTGGAGGTGCTGAAAGACATGATGCCTAATCATATCTCTGTGGGGAAGAAGTTTGTAGCACTTTAGTGTGCGTGCGTGATAGAGAAGTGAGAAATATAGCTGTCGAGCGCTCGTAAGCCCATGGACATATATGATTCTGGTATCTATAATCTCGAAGAATGATACGACGCCCATCTAGATGCCGCTATATAAACACAATGAAATTCGTCATCCACCTCTTACTACCTAGCAAAGTAATCCCTCGCCCCATCCCTACTAGGACTATACGGCGTATACTGCTGTTGCCCATGCCCAACACCCATAGGTGCAGCCCCACTAACCAACCTCCCCTGATCCCCTCCTCCAATCTCATACGGACTCTCTCTACTATCCACGCCCCTCAAATCCAAGCTAGGACTAGGACTGTACTCGCGCAACGCACTGGGTGTCTGATGGTACCCTTGTGGGTACAAAACGCCCGGATCATCTCGCATCGTCCTCTCAGAATCACGACTTGTACTCCTCCCGCGATCACTATTATTAGTGGAGTTATCGCGGCCCCAATGACTCCCCGGTGTATCAGGCCTCCCCACCGTACTACCGCCATACAAACTGCCCTCGCCGCCGTGTTCATCGCTAAACTCAGGTCTGTTTTTATAATTCTCAAAGTCCATATTCGATTCCGACACGAATTCAAAGGGGCCGGTTCCACCACCGCTGGTGATGTTGGCTGAGGCGGCGGTTTTACCAGGGTGTTCTTTGGACATGCGTTTCATGGTGTAGACGTCAGAGAAGGCGGCGGTGTCGCCAATGTCGCCGTCGAGGCGGCCGCGGTAGACTTCGGCGAGGAGGTGTTTGGATTTTTCGTGCACCATGGGGACGGTGAGCTTTTGGTATAGGGCTGGGTGGCTAGAAGGTAACGTCAGTAAATCGTGTTTGTCTTTGTAGAATGTAGATGCCTTACCCGAATCGCACGGCAACGCGATCTCTTCGGCGCGATTCCTTGTCGATTGGGGTTGGGGCTTCGGTACCCTTGGCGCGTGTGCCTTGGGTGTAGTACTTGAGCGAGTGGTCGAAGGCGTTCTTGCAGTAGAATTTGAAGGCGATCAAGCCGAGAGGGAGAGGGGCCATGGCGGCTAGCATGGTCCATTTGTGTTCGTAACCACGGGCTACGACCAGCAGTGCAACGATGCAGTTGGAGAAGAAAGTGCCAACGAGCATGCGGTTGAAGAGTACACGCCAGAAGGCGCCACCAGATTCGTTCTTGGTGCAGAAGACGTACCTAATCATATGTCAGCGGGGTATTTGAGGGTTTTGGAGTTAAGACTCACATCAGAAGATACTTCTTCATCCAGCTATCGAGTGTAAAGTAAATCGCCACAATAACCAGCGTAATCGGCTGCAACGGCGCAAAACACAGCGCAACCGTCGAGTAAAACAAAAAGTAATTGTAGTAACTCGCATAGTCAAACGGCGGCGGCGCAGTCCGACTGATCAGCTCCCTAGGCGTCGGGTTCAAGAACTTGCGCGAGAAACTTCCCCACGCCAGATTGACCGCCTGAGCTAGATCGATAGCAGCGCCCAAGTTACGCTGGACGAGCCAGGTAACCCAAAAGGGCGAGACTTCGCATAGGGTACGCATGGTCGTGTCGAAGAACTTGATTTGGCGTAGGATATCCATGAAGGGAACGTGTTCCTGGGTCGCGAGATTGACAATCATGACAATCATACCGAAGACGGCGCTGAAGAGCGAGAAGACGAACAGGTTATTAAAGACGAAGAAGGCGTATAATTGTGCTGTGACATGGCGCTCTCGGGAGGTCTTGGTCGTGTCTCCGGCCTTGATGGACAAGCGACGGAAGATGATGGGCAGGAAGTAGTAGAAGAGCGAGGTAAGTGCCGGAGCTGCGAGACCTTGGACGACGGCCCAGAAATCGGCGTGGGCGGCTAGTTCGGTCTGGAAGGTAGGCCACACAAAACCTAGGTTGGAGAGCTTGGACAGGAAGACGGCGATCAGGGCGTTAGGGATGAAGTACAGGAGCGTAAGCAGGGTGATCCAGAAGTTGTTCACGGTCCTCCTCCATCGTCGCGTCTTGGGGTCAAGGGTAAGGTTTTTCCAGATGATATCCTTTGGCTTGGGTGCAAGTCGGACGGTGGTGCCTTTGACGTGCTTGCTGCGGGCTGCGAAGGCGACCATGTGCGCAGAGTCGATACTCTCGTAGCTAGCGAATCCGTACGATAGAGCATCGCGCTTGTCGATCGTCTCCCGGACCTCCTTGATCTTGCTCTCCAGTCGCTGGATGCGCGCTGTGAGGTAGTCAATTGCATCCACCTTTTGCGCCTTATCGGTGAACTCTGGGTCTTTCTTCGAGGGAGTACATAACGGTCGCTCGGCGGGTAACTTGTTTGGGTTCTTCAGGTATTTCGCCAATATCTTCTCCAGCTCAATAACGGCTTCTTCGTGTGCCTCGATGAGATCTGGGATATCCTTCACGTTGCGTCCGATGGATGCGCGGGGCACCTCTGGCGTAGTCTTCAAGCTATCCGTAACCTCGACGATGCCCTGGTCACTGCGAAAGCTACGGTCGATATCCGTAACCATCAACGTCCGCGCGTGCAGACTATTCTGGTAGTCTGGATGCTCGAGGTACTGGCGTCTCATCCTGTGTACAGCGCGGTACATCCACCACAAGAAACCGCAAACGATGATGTCGATAAGGTATGCCAGCACGACGAAAGCCCAGAAAACCTGACCGAATAGATCTCTAGGTGTCATCAGGAAGATGATCTTGCCGCTCATATCTCCGTCGAAATTCTTCTGGAATTCCACCGACTTGATGACGTTGACGGGAACGATAACCGCACAGCCAACGATGGCGAGTACGACAAACATGTTCCTGCACATGCGTGCAAAACGCAGGAAGATGGTCGCATCCAGTCCAATCTTCTCAACATATTCGGGTTCGTTTGTCTTGAACACGGGCTTGTACCACGCGAACAGGGATTTGTCGAGAGGCGGCGGTCGGTGTTTCTCGTCGGTGTGTCGGAGACGGGGCGCGTAAACGATAGTATTAAAAGGGCGTAGTAGAAGGAAAAGTATGAAAATGGCGGCGGTGATGCCGAAGGATGTGCCGATAGCGACGAGGACGGAGTCTTGGGATACCTGGGGGTGTTAGTATTGTATGCGATAGATTAGGGCTGCATGTACCGAAGCGCCCAGGGCATTTTCTGTCATCAACTGCTCGAACTTCTGCTCTATGCTCAGGTCCCGCCGGAGCAGCACGTTCGGTACTGTGGATGCCATAGCGAGTGACGGGTGTAACGTGTAGCGAAGGTGTGGTAGCGAGTGTGGTAGCACGTGTGATGGGTACACGTGGTATTGGGGGTCGATCTCGGGTCCGAGAGCTCAGCGCATGTCTTCCTCGTGTTCCCCTCTCTCTCACTGAGATCTGAGTATGATCTGCTGTATCGTAAAGATCGCCGTTGGTCGTATTCGGGTTTATTCGGCGGCCTGCTCTTCACAAGGAAAGATAACAAGTGGGTATACGCGCAAAGCAGAAAGAGTGTACAAAGCAAGTGTAAGGAAAGCCAAGAGTGAAGCAAGCAACTGCAGCAGTAAGCAGTAACGGCAGTGAGAGAGAGTTCAGAGCTACGAGCAGTGCCTCGCGTCCCTTGCCCGTGAGAGCGGATGGAAAAGGGCCGTCGATCCCTGTCGTGCCCTGTCAAGATGTCGGCGCTAGAGGGAGCTGTGACGCCTCGCTAGAGCCAGACCCTAGCCGCCTTCCCCCAGGCACGCCCAGCCATTGGCTGTCCCAACGCGCCGTTTTAACGCCGGGTACGCGGCTCTGCCATGGCATCTCTGGCGGGTGGTTTTTATTTTTGGCCTGAAGGGCCTGGCCAGCTGCTCTAAGATTTTCCAGAGAGATCGCCCCTTAGTGAGCCCGGAGTAGTTTGCGGAGAGCGGGAGAATGAAGCTGCACTATGCTTTTGCACTGCCACCCGCTCACGCAAGTTCGATCAAGTTTGTACCAAGTGACGCGGTAGGTAACGCGATGCATAACTCGACGAATGAGATACGGAAATGTGGCGGTGCGCAGGCGGCTCTTCGGATTTGATGAGGCTTGTCCAGTCCACTCTCGTTTCAAATATGCATGTTTCGGACGATATGAAATGGGCCACGTTTATGCTTGGAGATGGATCGTGGGATGCGAGGAGTTTTATTGGGTGCCGATGATCCGTGTACTCGGTGCTGCCGAGATCCTAGCCAGCGGTGAAATGCGATGTGTGTCTGAAGTGGGGAAGATGGAAGGAACACCGAGCCATCTTGGAGATACTCTGCTTTGCGATGCCATGAATTTGTTCCTCAGGGAGTGTCTCGCCAGTACTGGCGCTGAGAGGCCCCGTCAAGACCAAATCGGACAAGATGATGATAACGCGCTTACATCCCACCATCACCACGACCCTCATCAATCTGCCCACCAATCTACCCAGCAATCCATCCGAGAAGCCTAACATCTTGTCCAAAAACATTCCTTCTCACCGCACTCTAACAACAAAAGCCACATCCAGATATCAGCGTCCTCTCCCATCATAACCAAGAGCAAACGTGACTTTCAGTCCCGTGGTAACAAACCAGGCACCTGCCACCGAAATCAACAGCAATTCCACAAGTTACCCGATTCGGACATGCCCGCAAAACCAAATACAGCACAACAACACCGACAAAGCTCAAATCGCACTGAACAGATGCTTCAGAAATCACACGTTACATCTTGACCGTCAGATTGACCCTACCGTGATCTTTAAACGGAAATCTTGTAGTCATTTTTTCTCGGAGAGAGGAAGGATGGTGGGTTTAAAACAGCCATCAAGGCACACATCCAATCAGCCAAACAATTAATCAATACCACCATCACACAATCACACCCCAAACTTGAACAAATCAGTGAATTTCGCTTTTATCCCACCTGATCTACCCTTGCTAGCAATCATATCCCCTTCATTGACTCATCCATCCATCCCTCCGTCCCAATAATAAAACTCGCCTCCAGCCTCTACTATATGCAGGCTGAGTTCAATAGAGGCGTACAGGCGATGCAAGAGCATGAGAATCCATGTGCCCAGGACGATTATCACCAACAGCTCTATTCCCACAAACAACTCCTAGTTGCTACCCGCAGCCTTCACAAGCTCACTAACCTTCCTCGCAAGGTCATCAGCCTCAGCCCTCGTCTCAGCTTCAGCGTAAACGCGGACGGCGTCTTCTGTCCCACTAGCGCGGGCAAATGAACGACCTTGGCGGACTTTCTGCACTTCCTTGTCGATTTGCGACTGGAGACCCTCTGGGCTGGTGAGTTTGCGTTCGGCGTCTGTGGTCTTGAAGATGGTGCGGTCGTTGACGAGGACTTTGAGGAGGCGGTTGGGCAGGTCGCTGTAGGTTGAGAGCCATTCCTGGCAGCCCCAGTGCTTGTGTGCGAGGACGACTTCGACGAGGAGGAAGTCGGAGAGGGCGTCGCCGACGGACTGGTTGATGAGGTTGATGCAGGCGCGCAGGACGTCGAGGGCTTCCTTCTCGCCGGGGTTGCGGGGCTCGTGCTTCTCGATTGTGTCGAGGGTGTCGTGCGAGAAGATGACGGTGCCGTGGCCGTTGGCTTCGAAGTAGACGCCGATATCTAGCTTTTCGGCTGCGTGGTGCAGGTACTTCACACCGGTAGGTGTGCAGTCGACCTTGAGCTTGAGGTTGTCTTCGACGTACTTCGTGGCGGCGCCGTTGGCGTAGGCGGTTTGCACAACTCCGATCTTGAGCTTGTCTGCCAGTCCACTTTGACGGACGGTGTCGCCGAGGAAGGAAGCCACGAGAGTCGCGATGCGGTCACCGTCGAGTAATCGGAACACGTTCTTCTCATCTTTGAAGTAGTATACTACGCGGTCAGCGTCACCATCGAGTGAGCAGCATCGATCGCCAGGTCCAGCCTTGGACGAAGGGGGCGCCCGCTGGTTGGTCTTGACGTAGTCTGCACCGCACTGTTCTCGAATTAGCAAAGTTCCAGTACTTGTAGATATGTTTGCTTACGTCGACGTTCAGGCTCTCGGGCTTGATAACGTTGTCGTTGATGACGGAGATCTCAAGGCCGCCTTCTTCCTTGGTGGGAAGGTACTTGATGAGCTCGTTCAGCTTCGGGCCACCGACGCCATTGGCACCGTCGACTGTAAGACTACCAGAAGGCTTCTTTCCACGCAGCGCGGTCTTGAATGCTGCACCGAACTTCTCGTAGTAGCCCTTCTCGGTAGGCGTACCGTAGGCATCCTTAGTACCTTCGGTGTTCAAGCACCTAACCATGTAGTGTAATTGTGGCGTGGTAAGGAAGCCGTAGTCTTTGACTTCAGCACCGGCGCTGTTCAAGCCATCGATGAGGCATCCGAGAAGCCTTGAACCAGAGGCTCTTGTGTCGCGGGCTACGACAACGCGTGCGGGCGTGTTGAGGTCGATCTTATTCTGGGCAGCGATTTCGCGGTAGTATTTGGAGACGTCTTCGGGGGTGGCCTTGTTCGCCATCTCGGTGCTGATGACCTCCCACTCCTCTTGCAGCATGTTGCCCTAGAAATTAGTTAGCCCAGTCTTCCTTCATATTGGAAAAAGACATGTACCATTGGTTCGACGAGCTTTACGCCATTGTCTTGAGGAGGATTATGCGAAGCGGTGATCATGACACCGATCCATTTTCCCTTGAGCGCCCGCGACCGCAGCGCCGCAATGAGACCAACGCGAGTGAGGACGGAGTCGAGAACATCACTGTTATGGTAAGCGTAGTTCGGGAGTTTTGTGCGTGACGAGGGTTGGCGTTCGGGGTAGTGGTGGAAGATCCGCCAGCTGCGACGCGCGCGCGGAGGTACTCGATAGCTGGCATCGCAGCCATCTATCGTATGAACGTAGGGGATGGCTTACGCTTTTGTTCGGAACTAGACTCTCTGTTAGCATCTCAATGCTTCAATCTCTCAAATCATGGTCTCCTGAACTTACACCAGCAGTACCGTATGTGTACTTAAGGCCCTCGGGCGCAGGGTGCTTTTGCGCAGCGTCGGCGATGGGGTCGGACATGATGTGTGTGTGGTTTGTCTAAGTGAGGGATGTGAGAAATGAGATGTAACGGTCTGAATAGAACGGGTGGTGTAAAATAATGGTTCAATTGAAGTAAGAAAAGACGTAGAATGTTCGGCGTTGTAGCAAGCTCAGCTATGAGGCTCTCACGACCCCGCCGGCGGACACACGCTAGCAGGGATGCTGAACGCAGGGATGACGATGCAGGACCGACGATGATGATGCGTGCCTGGCTAACCACGTTTTTACCAGCTTCATCCTATTAATAGAGAGGACAGCGCAGGAATTCGCCCCCTTCTCGACCAAATTATAAGGCTGCTCAAACCTAGTCATCTGTAAGACTACTATCCGACGTCACATTCTTACGGTGCTATGGCTAGATGCATCTTCTGAGGTGGTGGGATGTCGCAATTGCGGGGTTTTGTGACACTGGTACGAGGCGGCGGCCTTGACCGCTCCTCTTACAACGTTGCCACAACGTTCGGTGTTCCGGTGTACTGGGTGGGGATCGTCCGACACTACCCGTCAACGTCGAACTACGTAGAACGTTGCCTACATTTTCTGAGGCATGTTGTCAATTCTGTCAGCATCTTGACATTGTGCTGTGTTGCAAACAAACAAGATAGAGTAATCGAGTCTGGGCGGTTCAACAAATATCGTAGCTAATAGTGTGTTGTTAACAACAATATCACATCACATCATGTATTCAAAGCACATCTGAGTTTCATCATGGCACATCTCTCAGCGACTAGATTACCTCCACTTGGCATCCATCAACCACAAGAGGAAGAGACTAGACTAGACCGACAACTCGTCTCTCATCTACTAAAGAAACAAGCATGAGAGAACAGAGACTCAGCACGAGTGGGCCGACAACTGATTGCCAAAAGAAAAGAATGGAACAGTCCAACAGAAAGAGAGGAGACCGATCAACATCTCAGAACCCCTGCGGTCCCAATCCAGGAAACCTGCCTCCAAACCCACCAGCAAGAACGCTGTGGCCAGGAACAGGACTGCCAATCTCGCCCAAGCTCGAAGGAGGAGCCTGTATCGCACCATCACTAAACTTGATATGCGACAACCTGCCACTGGCATCTTCTTTGTACTCCAGACTACCGCCGCCATTGGTATGCGTAACATCGAGGATATCGCACGCCTCCTTGATCTCATCGACCGAGACAGCAGGATCCATAGCACCGCGTGAA